AGGAAAGATGGGGACAATCTTTTTAGTAGAGACAGCAGTGACAGGACGAGGGGTAATGGTTTTAAACTAAAACAGGGTAGGTTTAGGCTGGATATAAGGAAGAAATTCTTTACAATGAGGGTGGTGAAACACTGGAACGGGTTGCCCAGAGAGGTAGTGGAGGCCCCATCCCTGGAAACATTCAAGACCAGGTTGGACAGGGCTCTGAGCAACCTGATCTAGTTAGCGGTGTCCCTGCTCGCTGCGGGGGGGTTGGACTAGATGACCTCTAGGGGTCCCTTCCAACCCAAAACTTTCTATGATTCTATGATTCTATGATCTGACAGTTGCTAAAGCAAGGTCTGAAAAACCTGCCGGCTACACATAGTGAACTGCCTTTTTCCAAGTGCGTTGTGTCGGTCACGCTCCCCAAACCCCTCAAAACCCCGGGGTGGAAGGAGACAGCCCAAAGCTCGGCTCCAGACAGCGATCCACGAGGAGGAGCAAGAGGGCAGTGTGTTCCCATGCTGATGACTGGAACAGCTTTTGTCCACTTAATTAAGGGACAGGAGCCAGGGAGTGAGACCGGTCAAGGCAGGGATAAACTGATTCACCCAGCACTTGTTGCCACAGCTTTATCTGCACTGGCTTCTGGTGTCTACAGTGCACTGAGGTCCTGAGCTCCTCTTAGGCCTTACTGCAAAGCAAACAAGAGAGTCCAATTCAAATGCTTGAGAGGAAGGTGCGTATTTTTTAGTCTAGGATTCCTCCTTCTCTGGCTGGAGAAAAGGGAATGCTTGCAGTGCTTTCTCCATAGGGCTGGAAACCATTTTCTCTTCCAGCCCTGCCTGGAAAAGCACGGTTGCATCATTACTCAGTGGACCGTTTCTCATTTTGCATTCTCCCCCTCGCTCTGTTTAAGCGTAAGAAGTTGCTCCTGCTGTAGCTGTTCCTGTATTTGAGCAGTTTCCTCCTATGCTGGGCTCTAGGACCCCACAACAGCGATTCACAAGGCGTTTGCACCCTGAACGCATTCGTGCTTGCACCTGAGCAGCCTGACCGCGCTCCTCTGGTAGCGGGCCCTCACAACACTGCAGCCACAAAGCAGGAGTTGGCAGGGAACTGCATGGTGTGGCTCTGTCAGGGTTTTTACTGCGTTGGCACTCAAACTGTAATTAATGGGGACAGTTTCCTTTTTCTCAGCGTAGAGCTGGTCAGCGAATGTTAAGTTTAGTAGCTGGGAGCCTGAAGTCATGAAAATTTAACGGTGCCGTTTGGTACCTTATTCAGTAAGGGTCAAAATCTGCAGCGCGGTCACGGATGTCATCGAGAACGGCAGCTTGACTTTTATGGAGCAGCCGACTAGAGGCCTCTCCATAAAATGCTGCCGCCTGGAACATCTGAGAGGCCACTGCCATCTGTCTGTGGAGCTGCCCATGGGAAAGGGACGGGGCTTGTGGGGCACCCTGGCACCCGGGGACGGAATGTCCTCCCCCCTCCCAAACGCATGCTGTGTGGAAAGCCTCGAGAGCAGGGGGTGTCCCTGGACAGAGGGAGGAGAGCGACGGGACATGCCAAGCTCCAACGGACCACGCATTCAGCAAACCACTCTGCATCCCGCACCAAGATTTGCACTTGGTCTTGTCACCACTGCACCGGGCCGTGCTGGGCTCACCCCCCCCTCAGCCGGCCGGGAGCTCAGCCAGAATCTCCCCCTGGTACCTGCGTAACACCTTCTTCAAATCCTTTAATGACTTCTTGCCGGCCAATCTTGAACCTGAAAGGCTTGTTTCTGTCTCTGGAGGAATCAAACTTCTTCCCGTTCTGTAGCATTCCTG